ACACACACAAACACACACAAACACACACAAACACACACAAACTCAGTCAAAGGCTAGAGACATCTATATGAAGAACTAGAGCCAGACTGTTATCTGAACATTAGAGCTCCCTAGGGTCTAGTCTCAGAACTTGCGTGCAATTGCCAGGATTGGTCCCTGAAATGGGGATTAAAAGCACATTTCAGCATGCACAGAGTTCCTTTTAGAAGCAGCTCCAGCGCTGCGTGTTTCACTAGAGCCAATGGTTTCCTGGGAATTTCTCCTTTGAGAGCTTAAATATGAGATAGGTAGCAGTCCCAGCAAAAATGCCCCCAACCCCATCTCCCACCTCCACCCTCCTCACCCAGCCTCCTACATCAATGCTTAGAGGACTCCCCAGCCCTGCATACGTATATGTGCAGACAGTGCTCTGCCTCAGTCAGAAGGACAGCCATGTTCACCCGTTAATCGGGTCCTACCTTAAAAGTATAAAGGAACCTTAGGCAAAAGGGCTGTGGACATGTGGCCTACAAATATACGGCCTATGGACTGGATTATCGACCCATGGAATGGCATCAAGGAAATATTTGGTTTGTTTCATAAACAGTACAACTGACTGCCTCCTGTTGGTTAAAAAAAAAAGGCTGAGGACTTCTCCCAGCCTGGATTTTTGCACAATGGAGATGAGCAAAAAAGTGAGACATGATTGCTGTGGCAACAAGGCTCTGAGGGAGACGACAATGGCACAGTATGGACAGGCTACAAGGTTGGGTCCTTTCAATGGCTCCAGGCCCAGAGTGCGCCCTTATAAGATGCTACAATTACATCATACGCTGCAGGACAAAAGGGTGATTTACTTTCCGGGAATAAAGAAAGATGGCACAATGCACTTCTGCCACTTATCAACATAGAACTGAATTTTAGGGGTGAAGGTAAATAAACCACTTGGAAGGTAGGAAAAGTGTAGGGACATCAGTGGAACAAAAAGCAATTGCTGCGTGGGGGAAGGGACTCAGACTCAAGAAGAGTCACACTTTACAGTTCACTTTTTCTCATGTGATTTTTACTTTTGCAGATTTTTACTAGCTTTTCGCCTGCAGTGAAGACATACAGCTACCTATTCCCCTTGGAATAGGTAGCTGTATGTCTTTAGACCAATGACTTCTAAATAGCTGGGAACATTGTCAGCTTCAGCTCGAGGGCTGATGGAAGGTTAGGAGCAAATACAGTGTTTCATAAAGGGCTAATTGTGGCTAATTTTGCATAACTATACAGTAGTTTCATCGGGTATGTCCCTCCACCTTCACAGTTGTATTTTGTGGGGACACGGGAGAGGGCCTTCTCTGTTACTACTCCCACACTTTGGAATTCCTTCCCAGAAGAGGCCAGACTGGCCCGATCTTTACTTTTCTTCCACAAGCAGGCAGAGACCTTTCTCATCAAGCAAACTTTCCCTCAGTACCTGGCTGACTAGGTAAGATTTTTAAATGGATTGTTGTCCATTACTGCTTTGAATGGGTTTTGATGTTGCTAATGGGTTTTGTTTTATTTATTGTCTTTTAATTGACGTAAGCTGCCTTGGGTCCTTTTCAGGAGAAGGGCGAGATTAAAAAAATATTTTAAATAAAAATAAATAAATAATACTTTAATACAGGTTGCTTTGCATTGCACTTTTCATGTCATCATTGCATTGTATTGTTAGAGATTCATTTATATCCCTCTGATTTCTATTGTATTGTGTCTTCATTTCATGGATCTTATTCCCTGTTTATCTGCTGTGATTTAAATACATCTTCAAATCAATTGTACCAGTGAATACCTTCAAATCATCCTTGGTTACACCTTTCGCCCCCCTGGGGCAAATAAAGGACCTCCTTTTCAACCCTCACTCAGCAAACTCTCACAAGACCCGTATGCACAATCGGCCTGCACACGCTGTTTCCCCACTGTGCTGGTTGTCGTGCCATCAAACAAACACAGCTTTATACTGGCTTGGGGATTCCCACACACCTACCCAACAGCAAACATTCTTAGATTTCCTTTCCATCTGAGGGAAACTTAAATGACACAAAAATGTCCACAAGGGATGCCAATACAGAACAAAGATGACATCCTCTCCCAGCATGTCCCGGGAGAGTTTTTGTGTTCGTGTCCCCCTCCCACACCGCCCCTTCCACACAAAAGGCAGATACGCTCCCTGATTATATGGGACTGGCACACAAAACAAGCTCAGGCTCTCCCCCCTCCCCCCCCCGTCTGCTTCCATAGAGCTCTGATCCTGGGAAGCAAGGAACTGACAGCACTTTGGGAAAGCAAGTAACCACAATATTTAATAAGAACATCCTCCACCTCATTCCATGGGAATAAGCCAAGGAGGAGGAGGAGGAAAGCCAGCACTTCGTCTTAAATGCTTAGCAAGAAGCCTGTCACTCAACTTGCCATTGCCTCTTTTGGGGAGTTAAGTGAGGCATCTTCTCAGTGCTTCCACATCACTCCTAAAATGTGTAAGGTGACCTTCCATCCCCACCCTCCAAAAGATGCTGTAACACCTTTCACACTCCATTCCAGCTGGCTAGCATCGGTTCCCCAAGCTGCTTGGATAAGGAAGTGGAGGGGGAAGAAAACACAGGTCTGCCAAAGGCCATGCTTCCTACGTAGAGGACCTGTGTCCTTCTGCTAGAAGGGCCCCATGCCCCAGTGTGTCTCAGTCGCGCTTGTTTCCCTCATGAAAGCCAAAAAAAAAGTCAAGGCATAATCTAAATCTACTAGGTGCTACTAGCAATTAGAGCCTTCCTGCCATAGGGACACCTCACCAGTTTGTCCGTGCTGACTGCCAGGGGCTCTCTAAGGCACCAGACAGAACCCTTTCCTAGTTCTACCTGAAAGAGCCTGGGTCTTACCTGGTGGGTCTCCCATCCATATATTAACCAGGACTGACCCTACTTGGTTTCTGAAATCAGGCAAGAAGACCGCTTTGGAGTGGACTTGTTTTCAGAGCGTTCTTCTCACAGAAGCCAGCCAGAAGACAAAAGCTTCATTCCCTGCATTGTGCTTATTTATTCAAATACATGTATGTCATTTGGGTGTGCCCTTCTTTTCCCTGAAGCCAAGCACAACTTACCAACAAGTCTATGCTGGGCGCAAGAGATTGGGAAGGGGGATGTCACCACCAAATGTGGCAGCCTCTGTAAGCTGCCTTTCTCTGACCTCCGTCTGTTCCCACGCGGAGGAAGAGTCATCTGTGAAGTATTCTCGTTTCCCTCCCTTTCACAGGCCTCTTGTAAGAGAGGAGAAGGCTGTGCAATCAATCTGAGTGAGCAAGTTCAAGGTAGGGTCACTTCTGCCGGGATGAGAGAAGGCGCTTCAGAGTTGAGTGCCGAGGGGAGACGGGGGGAAAGACTCCCGGGCTGGGAACGCCATCCATCCTGCTCAGCCCTGTGGTTGCAAGCAAATCAACAGGGAGTCACTCGCTATCCAAAGTGCGGGTAAGATGCCTCTCAGATGCCAAGGACATTATAACATCTGGAATTGTACTGTTGGGCATGCAGTGGTTTGCTAGGAAAACAACAAAGCCCCAGACTGGAGAACTCGTCCCTACTTTGCAGAACTTGACTTAATACTGACAAAGTGGAAAAGGAAGGGAAGGGAAGCAACAGTAACAGTGCCAGTTGATCCATGGAAAACAAAACAAATACAACAACACTCCACAATTAAATATAAGAAGGATGGCAGACTCTTGCCAAGTGCAATTAGCACTCATCGAGTGCAAGCTAACTGGGAAAGCAGAGAATTTAACCAGAGCCCCTGCTCCCAGCGCCTGCCTTATGCAAAGTGTACGGTTTAGTTCTGCAGCAGAATATAAATTTGGCCTGTGCAACATCCTGAGACACATACACCACATCCCTGTTGGGGCTCTTGGAAAGAAAGGCCAGGAGGCAAAACGTTTTGCATGAGATTCAGGAGAACCACCGACAAGACAGTCCTGGGACAGAGGAATCAATGGGCTTCTTGCACAATATCTTTGGATGCCCTGCCATCCCCAGCGGAAATACGAGAAGCGCTACTCACAAACACTCATGACAAGAAGCTGGAAAAGTCTTTCTTTTCTTTTCTTTTCCTACAACTCCCAGAATACCCCAGCTAGTATGACCATGTTGGCTGGTGGATTCTGGAGGCTGAACTCCAGCTAATAAATACATACCTAAATAAAAATTAATTTTTATCCAAGATCTACTCATAAGCAACCTCCATTAGAATTAATATTAAATTCTTCCAAACCACCCTCCCCCAGTTTATGAATGTGGGATACTGTGCTTCTGTACCCATCATTCAAAATGCTAGGGAATGGCCTGATATTGCTGCACAATATCATGCCCACGTTTGCCAACAGGAAAAAGGATGCCAGGCTTTTCATAGCAAAGGGCAACTTGAATGTTGACAACACCAAGGACAGAAGTCAAGATGGTCAAGACCCTCTTCTGTTCAGTGCCATTCCAAAAGTGACACCACACAAGGGAAAATCCCAGAAGCTGACTCCTTTGTTCATTCGTTCAACACTTCTCTCCTAAACACAAAGCAGTTATCAGGTTTGTTTTTCAACCGGTGTGAATGGCAGTGAGCAGAAGAGAGTATCCTGTAGATCAGTAATGGTGAACCTTTTTGAGCCCAAGTGTCCAAACTGGAAAACAACAACAACAACCCAGTGGGTGGCAGCGGAAGTGGCAGCGGAAGGGGCTCAACTTGAATGTTGACAACACCAAGGACAGAAGTCAAGATGGTCAAGACCCTCTTCTGTTCAGTGCCATTCCAAAAGTGACACCACACAAGGGAAAATCCCAGAAGCTGACTCCTTTGTTCATTCGTTCAACACTTCTCTCCCAAACACAAAGCAATTATCAGGTTTGTTTTTCAACCGGTGTGAATGGCAGTGAGCAGAAGAGGGTATCCTGTAGATCAGTGATGGTGAACCTTTTTGAGCCCAAGTGTCCAAACTGGAAAGTTGGTGATTCTGGGCCACTTATTCTCTCTCTCTCTCTCTCAGGCTCAGGGGATTGTTGTGAGAGGAAAAGGAAGGAGAACAGCCATGCACATTGAATGCGTTGGAGGAAAAGACGGGTATAACTGCTATCAGCAATCAAGCAACCAATGCGTGTGGAATGAACAAATCAATAAAAAACCTGGAGAAAGGGGGGGGGAGGAAATAATAATATAAAAACGGAGGTGCCTCCAGACCCCACTCCGGATATGCCTACAGTAGTGCCCAAGCCCACCACTGCCTATAGCTCGGCCGGCCCACCACCACCAGCACCAGCTGCTCCGGGTCCTGGCCTGCCACCTGTCAGGGTGCTAGCACTGCAGCTGCAGCCACGTCCTGAGGTTTGGCTGCTGCAGGTAGCGATCCAGCTACTTGTGGCTCGCGTGCCCACAGAGAGGGCTCTGTGTGCCAGCTGTGGCACGCATGCCATAGGGCTTGCTATCGCTGCTGTAGTTGCCAACATTCAGGCTGCCCTTTGCTATGTAAAGCTCAGCATCCTGTTTGGTTAGGAACATCTGCATGTAAGTTTAGTCAGGGGAAAAGCATCCCAAGACTGTACACATGGTAGGGCTTAAGGCGCTGGGCAGTTTTCCCTCGGGAACTCGCAGTGCGAACGTGAAGTCTGGGGCTCCCGGGCCCCGGGGGGAGGGCGGGTTTGGGTTCGCTTAAGGGCAGCCTCTGCGACGAGTTCCCCGGAGGGCCGCCAGCCTCGGGCCGCTGGGCCCCCGAGATCAACGACCGCGAGGCGAGCAATTCCGGCCGCGCCGTCGCCAGAGCCCGACCTCGATTCCCAGCGAGGTGTTCGAGAGACCCGAGAGCGTGGACGGGAGCTGAAGGTCTTATACTCTGCCCGATTGTCAGGGGAGGCTGCTCGCTCAGGGCTCCGTCCACACCCTCTGCGCCCCGGAGGCACGGACGGCAGGCCGAGGAATGCGCCGCTCCCGGCGTCCTCCCGCCTCAAAGGGGGTCCCGTCGAGACCTACCGCCCGGGGATGAGGGAGCCGGTGGCGAGGCTGCCGCTCCGAAGCTCCGCCGCCCGGGGTCCCCGAGAGCTCGTCGGTCCGCGCCCTCCAACACTCGCCGGCGACGGCAGTGAGCAGAAGAGGGTATCCTGTAGATCAGTGATGGTGAACCTTTTTGAGCCCAAGTGTCCAAACTGGAAAGTTGGTGATTCTGGGCCACTTATTCTCTCTCTCTCTCTCTCAGGCTCAGGGGATTGTTGTGAGAGGAAAAGGAAGGAGAACAGCCATGCACATTGAATGCGTTGGAGGAAAAGACGGGTATAACTGCTATCAGCAATCAAGCAACCAATGCGTGTGGAATGAACAAATCAATAAAAAACCTGGAGAAAGGGGGGGGGAGGAAATAATAATATAAAAAGAAAACGCGTGCGGTGCCTCTGTCTTCTTCCCCACCTTCAAACCATTCCTCAAAAGCCTACATTCCTCACAAAAGACCTTCCTTAGTTTAAACGACCCCGTCGGCCCCTTGCAGCCTGACGTTTCCCCCTGCTAAATCTGGCGTTTCCCAACCACCGGCCTTTCCCGGACCCCGTCACATTTCCGCACGCAAAACTCCTCGGAAGCGGAGGCTGCTCTTCTTTGACGCCGGCTTGAAACGTTACCCTGGCGGCGGACAGGGAGCGCGCCCGTCCGCGGTGCCCCCGGGGACTTGAGCAACACACCACGCGGCCCCTCCTGGCCGCGGCGAGCTGGCGGGCGGCTTTTCCCTCGGGAACTCGCAGTGCGAACGTGAAGTCTGGGGCTCCCGGGCCCCGGGGGGAGGGCGGGTTTGGGTTCGCTTAAGGGCAGCCTCTGCGACGAGTTCCCCGGAGGGCCGCCAGCCTCGGGCCGCTGGGCCCCCGAGATCAACGACCGCGAGGCGAGCAATTCCGGCCGCGCCGTCGCCAGAGCCCGACCTCGATTCCC